TGAACAAGATGGGAAAAACGAGTGATTGTATGAGGGAAATAAAAATATTTTGCAACAACATAAATGGTCTCAATGCGCCTGTTAAAAGAAGGAAGCTATTTAATAAGATTAAGAAGGGTAATTACCATCTGGTAGCCCTACAGGAGACACACATGGCGCAAAAACATGCAGCCCATTTAATAAACAGAGAATTGGGCAAAGAATTCCATTCATTCGCGATGGGGAAAAAGAGAGGTGTAATCATATATGCTAGAGAAAGACTAGCTCAAGAACTGGCTTTTAAGGATACGGAAGGGAGAATTGTGGGTATAAAAATAAAACAGGGAAATAAAAACATATTAATTTGCAACCTATACGCGCCAAATGGTCCAAAAACAAAATTCTTAACCATTCTGAATGAGAAAATTCACAAAACACAACAAGACCATCTAATTCTGTTAGGCGACTTTAATGGGGTGATAAATAGTAATTGGGACAAAAGTAAGGTTGAAAAGAAAAACAAAGGAGACAAACTTAACACCCTTCCCATGAAATTCTTGAAACTTAAAGATGAATGGGATCTGGAAGACACCTGGCGAACCGAAAACAACAAGGGTAGAGATTATATGTACTTTTCGGGAAGACACAATAGGTGGTCCAGAATAGATATGATCTGGTCCTCAAAATCCATCAATTCTCATTTTTAACATCCTAAGGTGGCTTAGGTGGTGGCAGCAAATAAACCAAAAGAAGATAAAGCATTAGGGAAACTATATTATGCTTCTTCCCTAGAAAAGAATAGAGGTGTGGCAACATATATTAGAGAAAATATAGAATCAGAGCTTGCCTTTAAAGACCAGGAAGGAAGAATGGTAGGGGTAAAAATTAAATGGCAAAATACCAAGATACCAATTTGTAATATTTATGCACCCAATGATACAAAATCCACATTCATAAAAGCACTAGAAGCTAATATGATAAAACAAGAATTTGAAAAGATAATAATTCTGGGAGATTTCAATGGCGTCCTGGATGGGAATCTGGACAGATCATCAAGGAATAAACAAAATGAGAAAGGAAAAAAATGGCAGGACAGATACCTAATACCCTAATAAGGCTGTTCAAAGAATTAAAAACGGAGGACGTATGGAGACATAAAAATGAACATACGCAGGACTACACTTTTTTCTCGGCCAGGCATAAAACCTGGTCGAGGATTGACATGATCTGGGCCTCGTTATCCCTTATTCCTAATGTTAAAAAAATAAAGATACTTTCAAGATCAGATTCAGATCATTGCCCCCTGGAGATGGAAATCAAAGGAGGAGAGAGAACTTGGAGATGGAAGTTAGACGATAATCTCCTAATAAAAGAAAATGACATCAAGAGAAATAAAGAACTATTGAATCATAGAATCAAAGAGTTGGAAGAGACCTCATGGGCCATCTAGTCCAACCCCCTGCCAAGAAGCAGGAATATTGCATTCAAATCACCCCTGACAGATGGCCATCCAGCCTCTGTTTAAAGCTTCCAAAGAAGGAGCCTCCACCACACTCCGGGGCAGAGAGTTCCACTGCTGAACGGCTCTCACAGTCAGGAAGTTCTTCCTCATGTTCAGATGGAACCCCTTTCTTGTAGTTTGAAGCCATTGTTTCGCATCCTAGTCTCCAGGGAAGCAGAAAACAAGCTTGCTCCCTCCTCCCTGTGACTTCCTCTCACATATTTATACATGGCTATCATATCTCCTCTCAGCCTACTCTTCTTCAGGCTAAACATGCCCAGTTCCCTAAGCCACCTCTCATAGGGCTTGTTCTCCAGACCCTTGATCATTTTAGTCGCCCTCCTCTGGACACATTCCAGCTTGTCAATATCTCTCTTGAATTGTGGTGCCCAGAATTGGACACAATATTCCAGATGTGGTCTAACCAAAACAGAATAGAGGGGTAGCATTACTTCCCTAGACCTAGACACTATGCTCCTATTGATCAAACCGAGAACGCGGTGAAAACGGAATAGGAAGTCACTTTTTTCCTCCCCTTCCTTTCAATCTTCACTTTCCCTTAGCCCTTTTCCTCCCCCCCCTAACCTTACTCCTTTCCCCATCCCATCCCCTCCCCCCCCCACTTCCCCTCCCCTCTGTCTTTTAAATTCTAATGTACAGTGAACCCCCCCCCTCTTTGTTTCTATGCTGCATCTTGTATTTTGTATTATTCTGAAAAAGTATTCTAATAAAAATAATTAAAAAAAATAGTGGATTAGGTAACAGTAGTGAATTAACATTATATACCAGTCTATACTGAAGTATGGCACAGTTGTCATGGAAGGCAAGTACTGTAGTACAAAATGTTTTCGTTCAAGCGACGAAGGCCATTGCAAAGACCAGGTACTGGATTATGTTTCAGCATTAAGCACAAGCAACATGAAACTCTGCAGCAGCAACAAAATAAGAGGCAGACTCTTTTAGAATCTTCTGAAGGAGCAAAAGAGATGACAGCACAGGTCACAATAAAGAGGGAACATGAGAGAGTGCCAATTAAACAGTGTCACGATGTGTTTTAAAAAATTAAAAAAAAAGAAAAGAAAGAAAACAAGCTTGCTCCCTCCTCCTCCCTGTGGCTTCCCCTCACATATTTATACATGGCTATCATATCCCCTCTCAGCCTTCTCTTCTTCAGGCTATACGTGCCCAGCTCCTTAAGCCGCTCCTCATAGGGCTTGTTCTCCAGACCCTTCCTCATGTTCAGATGGAATCTCCTCTCTTGTAGTTTGAAGCCATGGTTCCGCGTCCTCGTTTCCAGGGAAGCAGAAAACAAGCTTGCTCCCTCCTCCCTGTGGCTTCCTCTCACATATTTATACTTGGCTATCATATCCCCTCTCAGCCTTCTCTTCATAGAATCATAGAATCATAGAATCATAGAATCATAGAATCATAGAATCATAGAATCATAGAATCATAGAATCATAGAATCAAAGAGTTGGAAGAGACCTCATGGGCCATCCAGTCCAACCCCTCTGCCAAGAAGCAGGAATATTGCATTCAAATCACCCCTGACAGATGGCCATCCAGCCTCTGTTTAAAAGCTTCCAAAGAAGGAGCCTCCACCACATCTTCTCTGAATGCTTGTAGAATATTTCCTCTCTTGTAGTTTGAAGCCATTGTTCCAGGTCCTAGTCTCCAGGGAAGCAGAAAACAAGCTTGCTCCCTCCTCCCTGTGGCTTCCTCTCACATATTTATACATGGCTATCATATCTCCTCTCAGCCTTCTCTTCTTCAGGCTAAACATGCCCAGCTCCTTAAGCCGCTCCTCATAGGGCTTGTTCTCCAGACCTTTTATCATTTTAGTCGCTCTCCTCTGGACACATTCCAGCTTGTCAATATCTCTCTTGAATTGTGGTGCCCAGAATTGGACACAATATTCCAGGTGTGGTCTAACCAAAGCAGAATAGAGGGGTAGCATGACTTCCCTAGATCTAGACACTCTGCTCCTATTGATGCAGGCCAAAATCCCATTGGCTTTTTTTGCCGCCACATCACATTGTTGGCTCATGTTTAACTTGTTGTCCACGAGGACTCAAGATCTTTTTCACACGTACTGCTCTCGAGCCAGGCATT